TTTTAAAACTCCACTTGTCATAAATTACAGACTACTAATATATATCAAATTGTCATTTGCTTTCTTCTTGCTAAGCAAAACAAGATATTAGGAAGACTTACCACATATTCTTTATTGTTTGAGTTTTTTGGGATTTTTTAAATTGTTATATCTCCAAGGGAAGTCATAGTTTAATATTTCAGGTTTCCCAATATAATTGTAGTGTGAATTCACAAGCAAGATGCTAAACCTTTTAAGATACAAATACAAATGTATTTTGTGGAAATAAAGGAATATGTGCAGGTTATATATGAGTAGTTATGGATCCATTGAAGTGTCTCTTTCAATCAGACTAAATAAGAAATGCAAAAAAAAAAAAAAAGAGCAATCATTTCTGTCCATGCATCTTCAGACTCTTCAGATTATTTTCACCTTTTTCATTCTTAGGCTCATTCAGTCTCTCTTCAGACATATCAAAAGCAAAAATGCATATCAAAAAGAGGAAAGCAATGTACAAATTGAGTAAAGGAAAAAAATGCAAAATTCATTATATTCAAGTTGAAAGTTTTTTTCTTTCTTTCTACAACATAATGGTTAAAGGTGGCCAAAACTAGAGCTTCCAGTAACTTACCATGCCCAATTTTAAACCAGTAGGGGACAGGAAAGCTCCCTACAGGTGAAGAAATGCTAATGAAAGTGATGACATATTAACTGTGGGCTTCTTTCCTTTTGATTGGCAAAATAACCATTTTGGGTACTGGTTGAGAGAAGGAGCTACTAGAGTGGCTTTTCTTTACCATCATTTTCCAACTTTGAATTCGCTTTCATTTGGGAGGGACTAAATCTGCAGTGTGCTACAGAGGCTGAATACAAGTGAAAGAATGTATTTGGAAACCAAAATTCTGTCATGTTAAAGACAACACTGTTCTATGTAAATGCAGCTTAAAGGGCCTTGACAAGCCAAGGGAGACATTTCATTGCCAGGTTAGGACAGATTTTTCAGCATGTTGTCAGCATGGTATGCACCTAAAAAAACAACACATTGCACTCCTGAATGTCAACCTTGAACCTTCTGTTCTCACCTGCCAAGAAGCAGCACTCAGGTATAAAAGGCTTCCCATTAATAGTTTGAAATAAGTAGGGTAATGTTCCATAAATTTTTTAGCCATTCTTGGTAATCTGAGATGCAGAGAAAATACCTAATGTGAGTTGAGTGAAAGTATAACAGTACTTTTCGACTGTCAAAATTATACATGTCTATATTATGAAATGTATTCATGCTTCATTTCTCTATTGCAGCATCCCAACTAATAGTATAATCTGTAACCAGTCTTAAATACTTAATACGCATTTGGACTGCATGTCTTGTTATCTGAAATGTGCTGGAACTGGTGTGCCTTGCTCTTCAACCTGACATGTTTACAACAGAAAAAAAAAAATCACAGAATTTATTTTGTTGAGGGATTGTGCTGCAGAAGTCTGGAGAAAAACACTGTCAGTCATAAATTAGCAATTGGCTTTAGGTTCAGCCTTTACTATACACTTTATTTCTACAGCTCCCTATTCTACATTGAAATAACTTCTGATATAAAACATTAATAAAGCTCTGCATGTTGGGGTTGAGCTAAATGTGCTACGGACTAAGATAAAATACACTTGAGAAACAAGTCAAAAATAAAGAAAGTAGGACATTTCCATCTGTGGCAAGGCTTACCAGGAAGTTATTACTGCAAAGTGAAGTGTCCTACATAGCCTAGAACAGAAAATGGTCTGGGAAGGCATGTAATTAAAACTGAAGGAGATGAGCAATGGAAGAGAGACTTCCAGCAGGTGAAGAGCAAAAGGTCGAGAATCTGGGAAGCTGATAATCATTATCTCTGAGAAATTCTCACTGCTGAAGTGGAAAACTATCTGGCAGTGGCAGCTCATCCTAAGGAAGAAAAAGGATTTGATCTAAGGGGAGCTTCAGCTAGCAGTGGTGGCAGCTGCCCCCACTGCTGCCTTCAGAGTTATTGACCAAATATGAAGATTGTTGCGTTAATGCCAACAGAAGTGAGCTGAGCAGATTAATGCCCTCAAGGTCACGTCCAAGGAGCAAGTTTCTGGTTTAGATTCTTGAAAAGTTTATGTGAGACTCACTCTTCAGGAATTGAAGAGGTTGGTGGAACGGCTTTGCTGTGGAGCCTGGCAAAGGAGAAAGATCAGAGGGCTCCATGGTAACACATGTGCCTGAGCTTGTGTTTGGATGAAAAGATCAAAGAGGCTGTGAAATACCAAATATAGGCACTCACCCTCTAGACTTCAGATCTCATTCCTTCTAGGGCAATTTCAATATTAGAACACTAGGCAGATAAAAAGAAATCGCTCAGTCTAAAACTGACAATCTTGGATGAATAAATTCACCTTGGCAGCAGAATGCAAGGATATTTGAATGTAATAAGAAAAATGGCCTCAGAATGCCCAGAGGTGTGAGTGATGTTGCTATGCTGTGCATTGATAAGGTTTTGATTGTGGGCAAGAAGATAGCAAGTATAAAGTAAGTTTAGTATTCGATGTACAGTGAACAAAATGAAGGACACACATAGCAATCTGTCACCAAATGGAATATGTAATGAATTGTAGAAAGGCCTATTTCCCCTTTTTCTTTTTGTTCCTGGCTATAAAAGTGTGAGAAATCCTATTCTTACCTTTCACATCTCAGTCACATTTTCTTCTTGCACTAGGATGCCTGAACCAAGCAATCACGGCTTTTAAGATTCTTTCAGCTTTTAAGTCATGTTTTTAAGAACATTAATGTGTAACATGATTTCTTCCTGGTCTTTGAACTCTCCCCCACTGTAATATTAACTGCTTATCTCAGGCTCATGATGTGCCTTCCCATATTTGTGGAAGACGAGACCAGTTCAAGAACTACAGGCACAGTCAAAAAATAATAATGTGGAAGCAAGAATGCATAAAAGGATAGCACAGTTCAGTGCTGCATACTGCACTAAAGCCACACACTGTGCTGAATACTACTGATGTGTAGCATTTCCCAGCTCAGGTGGTATACTGAGAAATATGGTAATTAGTTTCTCACAGATACTGTGATTAAAAGGGCAAAAAGTTCTTACAGGGAAATCTCACCATCTGTGGCTTTAGTAAGCATTGTATGAAATAAAGACCAGTACCGGACTACTGTAATCAAAGGATAGAAGTAATTCCCAACAAAGTAATTCGGAATCATTTTCAAACATAAAGCAGAAAATAGAAAAGGACACTAATTGGACAATATATGCTCCCCAGGGAGTTGGAAAGGGAAGTTGTGCATGAAAATAAAATAAGTTCTTGGAACTGAGGCATGAGACTGAAGGTCATGAATAGGCTAGCAGTCACATTCATGCACAAGGAACTTAAGTATGTTTGTTTTGGTCTCCTGCATAAATGGAATATCTCAGCTTGCCAAGTCCAGTATGTGAAAAAGAACCACAATTAGGGACAGAAACACACTGGAAGAAACCGCATTATCTTGAAATGTACGTAACTTCAAAAAATAAGTTTTCTCACTTGACTTCCCTGGCTTGCAGTATGGTTTCTGATTTTTAAACATTCTTTTCTCTTGCCTGTTGCTAAGTGAAAGTCTTACATAAACAAAGGAAATCAACTGTGCTAAAAGGATGGAAATGACTGTATGCAAAAAGCTGTCAAATCTACAGAGTAAGCAAACTGGAAGAAAGCTTTTCTTAAGTTAATCCTTTCAGTTACAGCAATGCTGTGCAGTACTCATGCTGTTCAGAGAAAGGTAGTGTTGTGGGTTACAGCTGTTAGGATTAATTCTCTCATTTTAAGAAAAAGAGTTTCTGTGGCCTCAGTGATATGCTTGGGGCTTTTGGGGGGCTTTTTTTGGTTTTGCTTTTCTTTTCCAGTAGGAGCAATTTTGATGATAAATATCAGCATGAAATGTGTAGCACACTGTGAGGACCTGCAGGGTCATGTTCTAGTTACTTTAAGAGACTAAGGCGTTGTTCAGCTTCCCCCTACATGGTCACAGGAGAGGGATGGAAAACTGAGAGCAAACAGGTCATAAGCGGGCATGAAATCCTCCTTCGGATGCTTTTTTCTCTCTGTTGCAGCTATGGGCAGGCTGTCCTTCAAAACAAGGAGCTTCAGCTGAACACCTAGGCTGACAAATCAGGACTCTAGCACTGGAAGAGCTAATCTTAAAGACAAGCTTTATGACCAGAAGTTCACACAGTGCTTTACTTCTCCCTATACTGTGACCAAAATGCATGTTTGGATTTGGATTTATAAGCATGGTCTCTGGTCATGTACCAAGATCTACTTCAATTACAGAAATTCTATCTACCTATTCATGTTAAATGGATATATAGCTGTTGGGTTAAATAAATGTCAGTAGACACAGAAAAAAAAAAAATCTCATGGTTTGTGTCACAATTCTCAATCAGTTCACAAGTAGTTAACAGTTAGAGATGCTAGCTGTTCTGGTTTCCAGCTACAAGCAGCTTAAGTAGATTAAATATTACCCCAGACTCTGCTCATAGTAATACAAGGGACATTAAGCACTCAGGAGTACAGGTGTTCTGCATACTCATTGAATAGACACTCCTATTAAGATACCCTTATTTCAAAAAATTTGAGGATTCCTACAGTAACAGCAAAATCTACTCCAGTAAGAGGGAGTAAGTACAGAATGCTACAGAATTTAGTACCAATAAATATGCTTCCTTTGAAATGGTGAATTAGATGTGCAGCAGGATCTGGTCACACTTCAAAGAGTAATATGCAGAGCTGAAGATCCATCTGTTTGCTCTTGCTATCATCATTGAGGCTGCTGTATGTTAAGCAGTCTTTTGAGTACTTCAAAGCATGTTTGAAGCCTTTGCTATGCCTATCCCATGCACACAAAAAAAAAGCAGAAGTGCCTTAACAATATGAGTAGCTGGTGTTTTTGTTCATTTCAGTTGTAAGTGAAAACAATTTGTTCCTGCTATATATCATTTCTGGACCTTTTTTTTTTTTAGCTATGATAGCGAGGGCCGTCTAACAAATGTTACATTCCCAACTGGAGTCGTCACTAACCTTCACGGGGAAATGGAAAGGGCCATTACAGTGGACATTGAGTCATCCAGCAGAGAGGAAGATGTCAGCATCACTTCCAACTTATCATCAATCGATTCTTTCTATACCATGGTTCAAGGTACTGTAAACAAAAGATTTCTCACTGGCCTGAAAATTGTTTTCTTCTGGTACAAGCAGCTCCAAATAGGATTGAAACTCTAGGGGCATCATGTCTGGAGGAAGGGTTGATACACACACAGTTTTACACCTATACAGAAACAACTGTTCAGGAAAAGCAGTAGTATTGCAACAGAAGTAGCATTAAGTAAGTTTTCTAACCAAATCGATTTTGTAAGCAGCTATTGGAAGTAGAATACTTACTTTATATTAAAAAGGAATCTTGGAAAGAAGAGATGGATTGAAAGGGAAATAGGTACAGAAATAGTATGAAGTGATATTTTAGCTTAAAAGCAACTTGTAATATCCCAGCCACCACATACTTGCAAAAGTGAATAGTCATAGTATGCTTAGGATTAGGCCAAAAATGCCTAATTAAACAGCAGAGAATGTGTTTTGTGCCAGTCCAAAGAACATGCTATCAGGATGAGACTTTCTTAAGTGTTTAAGAAACTTTGATGATAGGTCCTAAAGGCATTTTTTTTGTTCCTCTGGGATATACTTATTCTTAACAATCTCACCCTGTCTCTTTATTACCATTGGGTCAGTTATGTGCAGTCAAGATGCACATATTGCATAAAGTGTCCAGTACAAAGGCAGTCTTAACCCATGTAGGTAACCTGTAATTCTCTCTCTGGCCTTTTCAGATCAGTTAAGAAATAGCTACCAGATTGGTTATGATGGCTCACTGAGAATCCTGTACGCCAGCGGCCTGGACTCACACTACCAGACAGAGCCACACGTCTTGGCTGGCACTGCCAACCCAACCATGGCAAAGAGAAACATGACCCTGCCGGGGGAGAACGGGCAGAACCTGGTGGAGTGGCGATTCCGGAAAGAGCAAGCGCAAGGAAAAGTCAACGTCTTTGGCCGAAAGCTTAGGGTAAGCACACAAGCATGAGCAGTGTCTACTGCATTGTCATTAAGGAATGAGGAAATGTAAACACATTCCTGTAGGTATTGCCATCCAGCACCCACAGAATATTCACTGTAGACAAGCTGACCATAGATTGGGAAGTACTTGGTTTTATTACTTCATTTATTGGCTGTTTTATTTATTAATTGCTGTTTTCTATGTGTCATGGTTAAACCCCAGGCAGTAGCCAAGCTCCACACAGCTGCTCACTCAGTCCCCCACCGGCAGCATCAGGGACAATTGGAACAGTAAAACCCAGAGAACTTGTGAGTTGAAATAAAGATAGTTTAATAGGAAAAGCAAAAGCCACACACACAAACAAAGCCAAACAAAGAATGAATTCACTGCTGCCCATGGGCAGGCAGGTGTTCAGCCATCCCCAGGAGAGCAGGGCCCCATCACATGTAACAGTGACTCAGGAGGACAAAGCCATCACTCCAAACATCCCCCCTGTACATACTGAGCAATTGGGGTCACCTGTCCTGGCTGTGTCTGCTCCCAGTCCCCCATACAGCCCCAGTCTGCTCTGCAGTGTGGCAGTACCCAAAGCAGAAAAGGCCTTGGCTCTGTGGAATCCCTGCCCAGCAAAAATGAAAACATTTCTAGGTTATCAACCCTGTGTTCAGCACAAATACAAAATATAGCCCTGTAGTAGCCTCTGTAAAGAAATACCCCAGCTAAAATCAGCACTCTGTGGAATTAAAACTGTTGGGTTTAGCTTGGAATGGCTAAAAAGAATAATTGGAATGGCTAAAAAGAATAATTTTCTGCTTTCCTTCACTGTTTTTCTTTCTGGTACTGAATTCATGTAACTGATTCAGAATCCTGTTCTAAATTACTCTACCATAAGTTAGCATGATCTCTGGGTTTGGGTTTTTTTTAATTTTAAATTTAAATCGTAATAAGACAATTTTAATTTGAAAAAAATTTTAGAAAAGACTTATGGTAGAAAGGGTTTAACTGTATGTGCATGAGGATGGCATATTCCTTTAACATATGTCTTTACCACTTTGTTGGCATTCCTTCTTCCTATATAGTGAGTGAAATACAAGTAGGAAACAAACTATGATTTATGACAGCCATTTGGTAAAGACAACACAGATTAAGCATTTAAAATTGTGTTGCCAGGAGACCATTTCAAGATCAAAGGTTTGACTTACTATTAGAAATGAACTCAGTTCTTTAAAATAAAGCCTAGGCAGTGTATCAAATGAAAGTAAGTCATTTCAGACCACTTGACTTCTTGCCATTTGAAGTCTTAAAATATTTTCTATCTTCCATTGGGACAAGAAGGGAGGGAATGTTGTTATGCAGGTTATATTCCTCTCTACTACTTTCTCTATAAGAGGAATGAGCTTTTTTCCAAGAAGGAAGAACAATTATGCACAGCAGCAGCTGCTTAAGAACAATATATTAGTAACTACCTGTGGCAGCTATCTTACATTGGTAAGGAAGAGGAAAAGGAAGCCATAATTCTGAAGCTCATCCTTGTGGTTCTGGTTCATAGGCATGTCATTTTATACCAGAGTGGTATAATACACCTGCCAAGTCCTTTGTGAAAGAAGCCCAAGAGAGGTTTGGCAGTGAAACAAATCACCACAAGCACAGTTCTCAGAAGTGACACTAAGTTTTGGCATTTAAGTGCAGTGGTAACAGTTAAAAAGAGAAGTAGAGTTGACATGGGCAACTTTAACTTAGGAGATTTAAAAAAAAAAAAAGAAAAAAACACAAGGGATAGATTTAACAAGATGGGAGGGAAAATGAAAGATTACAGATTAGGATAAAATAATACTCATTACATAGAAATGGGAGAAGTAGGGCATGCAGAGAATGAGCTAATAAGAGACAAATGCCTAAAAAAAAGGAAAGAAACTTGTCAGCAATGAAAAAAAAAATAGAATGTTTTGTGAAAGTTATTTACATGGAAAGATATTACCAAAATGTCAGTTGGGGATGGATGGGGGGATGTAGGAAAGCAGAAAAAGAAAACAAGAGAAAGAAGAACAGGAATAATTTATGGAGCGCATAATTTCTATGTACAGACAGATATGTCACCAACATTTTTCTGCAAAAAGAAATGTAGACAAGAAACAGTGACAAAATGTATTGCCAGTAAAGGTACCCATCTCTGTGACACTCACTGTGTTATGCATATGCAGTATCTAATGGTAAAAAGTACACTGTCAGTTAATATTAGTTCTACCCAGTACTAGTAATCTTTCTAAAGAAATTAATTAGGAATTATGTTGCCCTTCCTCAACAGTCTTCAGTCAATTTTGATTTTGCTCTGACTTGGTTTGTAATTGTTCAATAAGCTAGTTCTTCTCTGGAGCTGTATGTTTGGTCTGTAAGCTGACTGTGGGCAAAGGTGCTGCCAGTCCTGTGCATGAAAGAGCCTTTTTAGGGCCTTGGACTGAGGGTCTCAGATAAAGGAGCTGGCATGAACTCTGTCTCAAGGGATGCACCCAGAGCAGACAGGTAGCACAGACAAGGGAGCTCACAAGAGGAGTCTCCTCTCGAGACCTGACATACCCCAGGCTATGCAGAGGTCCCCAGCTTTCACGTGACCTCTTGAATCTCTCTGGAAGACACAGCAATATATTCCTTTAACAGAGGACTCAAAGACAGATTTCATACTTCTCACTGGAAAGAAAAACAGGAATTAAAGTAGAGGAGAATAGATGGAGACATAAATTAGTGAAACATATCAGGACAGTAGGTAAAGACTGTCAGAAGACTCAGTTTTGTGTCATTAAGTGTTTCTTCACGGGAAATTTCCTCAAGTACAGTTTTTATCATAATGAAATCCAGAGGTTTTAAATGTATCTGGAGTGTGGTTATCTTGGACACAATAAAGACATTCAACTTTCCCTTAAAAGTATTTTTCTAGCAGAGATGTTATTAAGAAGCACTTTAGAGAAAGGCACTGCTTTAGCTGAGATGTGTTATTCCATCCCTACACTGCCCAATGAAACAAGCTATTTCACCAAAACTCATTGTTACTCTAATTGCCATCTCTATTGTGGGATTAGGCAAGAACAGCCAAAATTTCACCAAATCTCATATTCCTGAACGCAAGAGCTCTGTCAGCAACGTCTGAAAGTAGGAAACTGGCTGGAAGAAGAAGTTTTTCCTTTCCTTCCCCTCATATCCTGCCCTTACACAGACCTGACAGATGGGAAGTGAAAAGGCAAGCAATGTTACCATCCCAGTTAGCAGCTAGGGCAGTCAGACAGTGGATTAAGTACTTTGTTGCAATTTATACCGAAAGGATGTGCTTAGCCAAGAAATTAACCACAATTGCTTGGACATCCACCTTAACCATAAAACCACCCTTCTTTCTTTGCCAGTTCAGAAATCAGAAGAGTCCATTTTAACTTCAGTGTCTAATCCTGAGAGGTGGACAAGAAAATGTATAAAAATCATAATTAAATGTAAAATAAGGAAGGGGAGGGGGAGAGAAAGGGAAGGAAAAAAATCAGAGAAGCAAAACAGGCCAGGACATGCAGAGATGAGTGCAGGCAGACACTGGGGGGAAAAAAAGACAGAGACAAAGGAAATTTAAAAATTACTTTAGGTAAATGAGCTAATGCTAGACGTCAGAAAATTTAAAGAAAAACTCCTGAAAATCAGTTTTAAAAATTACAAAAAAGGAGTTGAATGGAAGCACTTCACACTTAACTTTAACTTACTTCTAGAATCTGTCTTGTAGCATTAATTTTTCAGATTATATTTTAATAACTTTTGATGGTTCATTAAATAGGTAAAACAGCTATTGTGCACCTGCTAGATTTAGTGTTCTTTACTTAAAAGATTTACATGAAAGTGTGATTATTTTTTTTCCTAAATTGATAGTGCAGATTCTTCTCATGCCAGTGATTTCATATAAACAAAGAGAAAGGTATTGTACATAAATAGACAGAATAAGCAAAAAAGAGCATTTGGAGGAACTTTTTTTCTATTTACCTATGACCTATCACCAGCACTTTAGTACTTTTTGTAGCAATAATAAAGGATCTAATTTATATTGATCTCTCTGAAGCTTAGTAGCCTCAATATGTAAGTACCAACATTCATGGCATGTGGAGTTTTGAAATTTCAGCCTGAAAAACCAAAAATCTTCCAGTCATTTCTTTGGTGCATCCCTATCTATTCTCTTGTTCTTTTCTGAATGTTATTTAGCCATCTTTGTTTACCCTTTGTAATGTATGTATGAGGTACTTGAAACAGAATTTTTTTTAAATTCTTAATACACATAGCTCTCTGTCCATTTCTACCCCACTTCCCACATGTTCACAAAATACATTGTTGAAAAAAATCTCAGTTATCAGTTTTTCACCCCACATGGAACAACTTTAAAAAGACACAGAAATGGTTTACAGATGAACAAAGAAATCCTTGAGGGCTGTTTGAGAACACTAAAGCACAATTCAGTGCTGAGAGGAATGGAGAAGTGCAAAGATACTGATATAGGAAAGGAAAACCGGACATTTTCCTTTCATAAATGCAGGAAAGAGAGCCAATTCAATGAAATTGAAAGTTGACATATTTTGAACACTAAAGGGAGGTGGGGGTGGATTTCAGTGTGAAAGTATTACACAGAAATCACTATCCGTCACTTGTAGTTTACGTATATATCAATAACAAGTTTTCAACATAAATGTATCTATGGCTTTATTTAACAAAGCCTTAAGAAAGCTAAGGCTTTATTTTCAAATCAAAATACTTACAAACTTCAAAGCATTTTCAACTGTTTTTCAATGGTTCAGTAGTCTTCCAGTAATTTATGGTTTTAGGTAGTCAGCTTTAATTAGTCAGTTAACTAGGAGAAAGATATAATCCTCTACTAAGGAGTTCAGCCTTATAAATACATTGCAGCAGTGGATAGTATACTGAGTTAAATTTCCACTTCATCCTGAATGCCTGTGTTCTAAAAACTGTTTAACCTTAATTTGAAGACCTAACATGCTTTTGAAGATCTTAATCTTGCATTTGCTATTTTGAAAAATACTTGTTGTGAAGGACTGAGATTCAGTTCTTTCTTAGCATGATTGTTATGAATTGGAAAAGCAGTTGCTGGGAATATATTTTGACAATAATTTTCTAGATATATTTCAGACTGCTTACAAAAGAACGAGTTTGTATTGAAATGACCCCATTTATTACCAAAGTTTTCAGTACACAGCTTTCAGTATTTCCTTAACAGTTGACTAAGCATCAAGAAAGAAAACATTGCAACAAATTTTGAGCCCTCTCTTCATATAACCAGACCTTCTAAGGCAGATGCTATTATAGTGCCTTACAGTTATATCAAGAAGTTGCTAAAATACTTTACACATACAGCAAATCAATCACTGTAAATGGTATTTAAAGAATAGCTAGCTTTGTGGAAATAACAGGTGGCTGGGGTTTGAACAGCATGATTGATTGTGTCATTTTGTTTGCTTTAAAAAGGTTAATGGCAGAAACCTCCTTTCAGTTGACTTTGATCGAACCACAAAGACAGAGAAGATCTACGATGACCACCGTAAATTCCTGCTGAGGATTGCCTACGACACGTCAGGGCACCCCACCCTGTGGCTCCCGAGCAGCAAGCTGATGGCTGTCAATGTCACCTATGCATCCACAGGGCAAATAGGCAGCATACAGAGAGGCACGACTAGTGAGAAAATAGAGTATGATGGACAGGGAAGGATAGTGTCTAGAGTGTTTGCTGATGGGAAAACCTGGAGTTACACATACTTGGAAAAGGTAAAGAACGCTCAGGTTTTTAAAAATGCTTGGAATGTGCTGAAATTCTGCAGCACCTCACTGCTGCATACAAAGCAAAAAATAGGTAGTAGAAGCACATTGCAATTATTCTAAGTATCAACATGTGATTCCAAGGGGAATGTTTCATTCCACAGATATGTAATCATGCTGTAGGTAATTGCTAGGAATTGATGTGTTTTTAAATTATTTAGGCCACTGACTAACAAGAAGCATCTGCATTTACCTTTTATCTTAACACTTAAAATAAGGTACAGGGACTATCTGCAATTCAGTTCAACTGAAAATAATTTGTTTGCAAATGCTCTGCTGTTGTGGGCTTTTTTCACTACCAAGAAAAGCTCTTTTTTCTAAATAATTATAGCTGCCAGTTTGTACTTGCTATATGTTGTAGCATCAAAATAAGGGATAGGCAAAAGCTTAGGAATCAATACATATGTAACAATTGCTGAATCATAGCATGCCTTCTAGAAATGCCTGTGAAAATCACCCTTGTGAGATATGCAGAAAGAGAATCCATGTCTTTTAGGGGTTTAAATATATTTCTGTTGAAGGTGTTGCTCAGCAAATACTGTTTCCTAGTTACCACAGACTTACTTTAATCAAGACCTGTGATACATAATACCCACACATTAGGAAAATGTCAGAATAATTCAAGTAGCTCCTTTCAATATGAATAATCAAACAGTTGTTTTGCCTATGTCTCAAAAGCTTACAGAACAAGAACACAGTATTCAGAGCTCTCAGGCTAGTCAAATTCTTCAAAATCATCTCTAATTGTAAGAGAGAAATTGTATCTCCCATATGTTGTTCTCCTCGTGAGTTAATGGCTCTAAGACAGTTTTACTTCTTCCCATATTAAACATGACTTATCTGAATCCATTGACAATCTGCTGTTTAGCTGTGAATGCTTGATAAAAGAGTGATACAGTCATAACAAGTAGCAAATTATGAATGTGGAACTACTAATTACAGAACCCCTTACAATTAGGCATACAAGTAAATTAGGCAGGGAGATGTTAACAACATGTAAGGTCAATGATAACTCAATTAAAGAGGAGATAATTTTCTCAAGTGGGAATGTCACATTTTTGTGAAGAAATAGTATCAGTATGTGGCGGGAGGGGAGATACCGCACCATTTGTCACATGATAAAAATCTGTTCTTAATTTTCAGTCAATGGTTCTTCTGCTCCATAGCCAACGGCAGTATATCTTCGAATATGATTTGTTGGATCGGCTCTCCGCTGTCACCATGCCCAGTGTTGCTCGTCATACCATGCAGACTATCCGCTCCATCGGCTATTACCGGAACATATACAACCCCCCGGAAAGCAATGCTTCTGTTATCATGGACTACAACGAGGAAGGGCAGCTCCTTCAAACTGCTTTCCTGGGGACAAGCCGGAGAGTGTTATTCAAGTACAGACGGCAGACGAAGCTCTCAGAAATTTTATATGATAGTACAAGAGTTAGTTTTACTTATGATGAGACAGCAGGAGTCCTGAAAACAGTAAACCTCCAAAGCGATGGTTTTATCTGCACCATTAGGTACAGACAAATTGGCCCGTTGGTTGACAGACAGATTTTCCGCTTTAGTGAAGACGGAATGGTAAACGCCCGATTTGACTACAGCTATGACAATAGCTTCAGAGTGACTAGCATGCAAGGTGTCATCAATGAAACCCCATTGCCCATTGATCTCTACCAGTTTGACGATATCTCTGGCAAAGTTGAACAGTTTGGAAAATTTGGAGTTATATATTACGATATTAACCAGATCATTTCAACAGCTGTAATGACATACACAAAACACTTCGATGCACATGGGCGCATCAAGGAAATTCAGTATGAAATATTTCGGTCATTAATGTATTGGATTACAATTCAGTATGATAACATGGGACGAGTGACAAAAAGAGAAATTAAGATTGGGCCATTTGCCAACACCACCAAATATGCTTACGAATATGATGTAGATGGTCAGCTCCAGACAGTTTATCTGAATGAAAAAATAATGTGGCGATACAACTATGACCTGAACGGCAACCTGCACTTGCTGAACCCCAGCAGCAGCGCCCGTCTGACACCACTGCGGTACGACCTGCGGGACAGAATAACCCGGCTGGGAGATGTACAGTACAGGCTAGATGAGGACGGGTTTCTGCGTCAGAGGGGCACCGAAATCTTTGAATACAGTTCCAAGGGCCTTCTTACTCGAGTTTATAGCAAAGGCAGCGGGTGGACGGTGATTTACCGCTATGATGGACTCGGACGACGCGTTTCCACTAAAACTAGCCTTGGGCAGCATCTCCAGTTCTTCTACGCAGACCTTACCTACCCAACCAGGATAACTCATGTCTATAACCACTCAAGTTCTGAAATCACATCTCTGTACTATGATCTGCAGGGACATCTTTTTGCCATGGAAATTAGCAGTGGAGATGAGTTTTACATTGCATCAGACAATACAGGGACACCACTGGCTGTTTTCAGTAGCAATGGTCTCATGCTTAAACAAATTCAATACACTGCCTATGGAGAGATCTATTTTGACTCTAACCTTGACTTCCAGCTGGTAATTGGATTCCACGGAGGCTTATATGACCCACTGACCAAACTAGTCCACTTTGGAGAAAGAGATTATGACATACTGGCAGGCCGGTGGACAACACCTGATATTGAAATCTGGAAGAGAATTGGGAAGGATCCAGCTCCTTTTAATTTGTACATGTTTAGAAATAACAACCCAGCCAGTAAAATACATGATGTGAAGGATTATATCACAGGTAAGAGAAGGTCACTTGATTGCAGCTGTATCTACAGGCATCCAGTTTAGAGGGAGTGAGACTGTAGGCAGAAGGGGTCCTCCTGTGATCAGTTTAACACACTAGCATCAAAGAAAATATTCACTGGAAGCTGGTTGATATTCTCCAGTGTAGACTTTTGCAAGACTGCTAATGTCAATTGCTCAATAAGCCCCAGGGCTAGCACAAAGTAATGTGTACCCAGCCAGGTGCATAGAAGGAGTAGGATAGTATAGAAAAAGGATTCAACTTCTGTTTTGGCAAAAAAAGGTGCTAACGTGCTTACTTTCATATCTCAATTCTTAGGGAACCTGTATGCTTTTTGTTGTTCTAGAGTTAGTGGTGTGTAGTGTTTTCCATTATTCTACACACCAAAAATCTGACTACACGACACCAAAATTTTGAGAAAAATGTATGGCTCCGATACATTTTATTTTTTTGTATTTGAATTAAGTGTAAATAATCCAATTTACACAGACATTGCCAGTCTACAGGAAGAGCTCAGCCCCACTTACTTAGGAGCTGTGAGACTACCACTTAGAAGAGCATCCTGGGAATCAAGTGGGTTTGCATTCATTTAACAAACAGCAGCTATTAAATGGGTTGCTAGCAGGCTGCCTGAGAGTAAGAATAAAAACAGACCTCTGAATCTGTCCTCTTTTAGCAGCATGTGCTGTAGGGAATGCAGCTGGAATCAGATTCTTTGTGCCATTGAAAATCATGCACTTAGTTCAGAAAATGCCCTCAAAATACAGTTTTGGTTCTTTTCTTAACATCTTTGATGTCTGAAATGCACAGGCAGACACTGCTTATATAAGGTTATTATTACAATTGGTAATTTGGCTGACTGGCAGTTTTAGATGCAGCACCTCATGAGGCATAGCATTTATTTCAAAATGTTAAAAATTATTTTAAGATAAATATTTTTTATTTATTTAATTTTTGGAAAAATCTGCTTCCTTATCCCACATATTGTGAGCATTCTTAAATAAAAATTATTAGGCTTGGTAAGGAGCACTCTGCCGATCTCTAAGCTTAGTTTTTGTGGAAGATAGTGTAAAAAAACAGAAACAAGGCAGCGCACTCTTTCTTGCCAAACAATTGTTAACTGATTGTTGACACCCCTAATTTATTTTTAACAGAACATAAAATGTATCATAAATAATGTGATCTAATGGTAATTTGGTATCCTGTCTGCTTACTGATGCATTTCATTAGCTTTTCATTTCATCGATCCCACATCATCTTGAAGAGGAGCAGATTTCTCTTGAATCAACAAAAAATATCTGCCAAATCATTTAAAAGGTAATTGGCCATATAGGTGATATTTCAGGAGTAGTTTGAAGTCATTACACACACCAAAAGGATAGGATGTGCTCTGCAGTACTTTTTTTTGACTTTGTTTAAAAGTATTGATGATGAGGGTATGACATAAAGCGTGTTTAACCTGACTGTGAAATTCCAGTTGGTTTAGGCTGTATGACAAGGAAATCGCCCCTTAATTGTGGTGCCATAGTTGTTTTGGAAGTCACCAGAACCATCAGAACCTGATTGCTGAACTCTGCAATACCTTTCAACTGAGCCTAGTGCAACTCTTTTATAGAATAGACATCTTCTTTTAAGTTTAGAACTGAAAGTTTCCTGTATAGGTTTGCTGTTTCCATACAAAAATAAATCAACTATGCCAGAAGCTATTATATGTAAAAATTGTGTGGTTGCAAAATACAGAACTATTCTAATATTTTTCTCTGTTTTTTTCTTATAATTATTCCCTTTCAGATGTTAACAGCTGGCTGGTGACATTTGGCTTCCATCTGCACAATGCCATCCCTGGTTTCCCTGTTCCAAAATTTGATTTAACAGAACCTTCTTATGAACTTGTGAAGAGCCAGCAATGGGAAGACATACCAGTAAGAAACAAATCTAAACATGCAAATTGAACAAGATAGAATGTTCCCTTCCATTCAGATCTTATAAGGCATGGATAATTCTGACAGCCAGGGTTTTTTGCTAAGTTCAATCCAAACTTAGTACCTTTATCTAGTTTAAGAAATTACAAGTGGAGGGTTTATTATAGATTTGCTAAGTTAGGTACTATTTTGTATAAGCTTTTGATTGCTTTTAGCAATTATAAAAATTTTAAAAGACAATAATCAATGAAAAGTTTAAGATGCTCTAAAGATGTCTAATTTTCATAGCAGAAACTACAGAAATTATATTTTTACTAACATTCTGCCTGAAGACAGTAAATGAATACTGTAGCAAAAAAGAGATGGTGAAATAAACAGAAGAAGAAGAGGTGATATAACATACCCATACCAGGCACCACTATAATTTTGCTTCTTTTTAATATTAACCATGTGTTATGGACACCATGTGTTATATGTAAAGATAAAATACTGAAACTGAAATTACCTGAGGTAAATTCTACTATATCACATAAAACTCGGGTGCTTATGAAGTTCTTTGAAACCAAAAAAAATGAACTTTCATCCTGAAAACCTGCTGCGATTTTAAATAATGAAAGAAATGCATGTGGAAGTAAAATCTAAGTCTGCCATTTAAGAAAATTGTATTTACAAATTAGGCTTACTCAAAGATCAAATACCTATGCCCTCAAAAATCCTATGGTTTTTGCTTTAGAAAGAAGCATTAAGAGACATTAAAATGGGTGATCCCATTCTAAACAGTCAAAGAAAAGATCTCTTTTTACAAGAATCATGATAGAGAATGCTACAAAAATTAAAGATGATACAAAGTTTAAAAATCCTACAACCTAATGTAGATCAAATGTCCTTAGCATGGTGGCCCAGCAGAAGGGAACATATAGAAGCTAACTTTGCATTCAGGAAGTTAGTTAGTAAGTTAGTTAGTTTGTTTGTTCATTAGTTCATTCTTTTTTAACAGCAAGGAACGGAGTAACAGGGAGAGAGTTTAGAGCCCAGCATGAGACTAGTGTCTTCCATGAGCAACAAAGTGAAGGAGGAGCATGGCAAGCATTCCAGTTGTATTGGGAGATAAGAGACCTGTCATCAGGCATGGCTGTGAAGAATGATCAGAAGTTGTTTAGGTCTCAAAGATAGGTCTCAAAGGCTAAAGAATGAAATCATCCACTAACACCAGCAAAATCATACCAGGAATAGAACCAGTCTGGTCAAAGAGATGAGGGCAGACAGCTAGTTGTCAAAAATCTTTGAGAAAGAGCTCAATAACATGAGGAATGCCAGGAGCACGTGATGTGACAGAGCAAGAAGGGCGTGGTAGGAAAACAAAGATTCAAAATTCTCACGTAGGAAGAAGCTGCAACTCTGGTATTCACTGGTGAACAAGCAAATGCAGAAGGAGGCAGAAGTAAACACACAAACCACTTGGTATTTTGAAACATTCTGGAGTGAGTGAGCTTTACTGAGCTCTGAGGATAAAAAAAAAAAAACTTTGTCATTATGAAGTTGCTATAGCATTTTGCTGCTCTCACTGATGATTGCTGTCTACAATATATTTTGTGCCCAATAGCTTTCATGTAGGATTTACAACAGCTGAAATTCATACTCATTAGCAAATGCAGACCAAAATCTGCCACATTCAAGAAGAATGGAGAGTCCAAGTTAATTCATAATTCCCTCAGGAGTTATCCCCTCCAGAAAGCTACCCGTGTGCAAAACAGAGAAGCCTTTGCAAACTTTTTGCCAAGCTTTGATCAGCAGCAAGGCTGAATTAAGGTTGTATGAATCTTAATGACTCCAGTTGGTCTCCCATCCAGAAATTTAGGAAAACAAAGCAGGCTTTTGACTCATTTGTCAGCAGTGAATCAAATGGTTTAAGCAGTATTTTACTGAAAGGAGAAGGGGTCAATTGGAAGATAAACTGGATCATCATCAAAAACCAAGTACTCATTTTCAAAAGTGCAGCCAAAGCTATTTAAATCTTTGTTTCCTGCTGAGGCAACTGCCAGGACAGCTGTCTGCTCCCCACCTCTATCAGTACAGCTCATTCACAGCTTGTTGCTGCTAAGGCCCAGGGTTAGACCAGTAAGTTTTGAGGTCTTATCCCAACCACAGCCGACCCTGTGATTTGAGCTGTCCTGCTGTCTAGGTGCACTAGCTAACCATTCCTGCTAGCTGCTCCTACTCTTTCAGCTGTCCAGGCTAAGCACTGCAGTTGTGCTCACAGGTCCCATTCCCCAGCCATCCTCTCTTTACCAAGAGTGCATCTGGCACAGTGGGCTACACACAGCTCTTCCATGACATTCTGCTATCCTAGCTTTTCCATTAGACTGGCTTGGTGGTTCTTTTCATACATTGCCCCTTGTCTTTGCTAGCTATGAACAAAATGCTGCTATATTCAGGGTTGCACCCACCTAAAGCTCTTGCGGAAAAGCTCTTTTAGGCAGGAAGCTGATACTTGAAGTGAAATGGAAGGTCACGCAGCCCAACCGGCCACAGTCTTTTCACACATCCCCTTTTATCAGTTTCTGCAAGTACTTGCAAGAAAGGGTATCAGCCCCCAGTATTCCACCTCACTGGTCCATACCATTAGCTTCCCTCTCTTTTACTGTAAAGACTGTCATTACAGTTTGATTTCCCTTATTTCTTCAGCAGCTTGAGGGATTGTGAGAGCCACCCTGCAGTTTGGTCTCAGGCTGCAGCTGCTTGAGACTCTTATCTCCTGACTCAGCGTAAAGAAAGGTTTGTTCCAGTTCTAAAGCACAGCTTCATAACCTGCCAAAATCTCCTCAGTTTGACTGGACTCATGGTAGACAGGAATCATAACTGAACAAGCTCAGAGGAAGAGATGCCACCATAGTAAGATGACACTGCAGTGAGACAGCTCTTACCTGTATAACATGACATGGGCTGGCAATGTGCACTGGCAGCCTAGCAGGTCAATCCTGTCCTGGGCCGCATCCAATCAGCAGGGCAAGGGAAAGGAAGGATTTTGCCCCTCTACTCTGCTTTTGTGAGACCTCAGCTGAAACACAGCATCCAGCCCTGGGGCCCCCAGCACTGGAAGGACATAAACCTGTTCATTGAAGTCCAGAGGAGGGCCACCCAGTTGATCAGAGGGATGGGGAGTACCTCTTCTATGAGGAAAGGAATTGGGCTTGTTCAGCCTGGAAAAGAGAAGGTTTTCAGGTAACACAGCTGAAGCCGTCCAGTACCTCAGGGAATTTACAGGAAAGATGGGGTAATACTATTTACAAGAGCAGGTGGTGACAGGACTAGGAAAAACGGGTTCAAATTGAAAGAGAGTAGGTTTAGATTACATATTAGGACAAAATTCTTTACTATGAGGGTGGTGAGGCCCTGAAACAAGCTGCCCAGAGAAGTTGTGGATGCCCTGTCACTGAAGGTGTTCAAGGCCAGGTTGGATGGGTCTTTGAGTAACCCAGTCTAGTTGAAGGTATCCCACAGCAGGGGGTTGGAACTAGATGATTTTCAAGGTCTTCTTCCAACCCAAACCATTCTGTGATTCTTCTGGTTATGTATTGGCATTGCAGGTCTGTCCTGTGCAGCCCAGTAAGTAGCCTCTGAAGTTAAAGCTGATTTTTGTGCAGGTTCTCAGGGAGACAAAGAGTAAAAGCAGTGAGCATTAGCAAAATAGTCTTGTAACTCAGCAGAACAAGCAGTATGCAGATCTAATTAACTCCTTGGCACTGTCAGTTGTGGCATATCCTGTTGTTGTCCACGGGCAGCACACCAAGAAATCCTGGCTGTTTGGCATTTAGGGGGCTACAGATGGCTGGTAAAACTTCTGTCTGTTCTTGTTTACAGCCAATTTCTGGAGTGCAACAACAAGTGGCGAGACAAGCAAAGGCTTTCCTTTCCCTGGGAAAGATGGCAGAAGTGCAGGTCAGCAGACGGAAATCCAGCGGAGAAAAGTCGTGGCTGTGGTTTGCCACGGTGAAGTCTCTGATTGGCAAAGGGGTGATGCTCGCTGTCAATCAAGGCAAAGTGCAAACAAACGTGCTCAACATTGCTAATGAGGACTGCATAAAAGTGGCAGCTGTTTTGAACAACGCTTACTACCTAGAAAACTTGCATTTCACTGTGGAGGGAAAGGACACGCACTATTTTATCAAGACCACCTCCCCTGAGAGTGACCTTGGGACACTGAGGCTGACGAGTGGGCGCAAGGCCCTGGAGAACGGCATCAATGTCACTGTTTCCCAGTCCACCACTGTGGTGAACGGCAGGACTCGTAGGTTTGCTGATGTTGAAATGCAATACGGTGCTCTAGCGCTTCACGTCCGCTATGGCATGACACTCGATGAGGAAAAGGCCCGGATACTGGAGCAAGCCAGGCAAAGAGCTCTTTCCAGTGCCTGGGCCAGAGAACAACAGAGAGTAAGAGATGGAGAGGAAGGCGCCAGGTTGTGGACAGAAGGAGAAAAGAGGCAGCTGCTAAGTGCTGGAAAGGTACAAGGATACGATGGGTACTATGTACTCTCTGTGGAGCAATATCCAGAATTAGCAGACAGCGCTAACAATATACAGTTCCTCAGACAAAGTGAGATAGGAAAGAGGTAACACACTGGCTTAGCTCAGGCTGCCAAAGAGACTGTGTACCAGTGTCTTCTAAAAAGGAGACTAAACTGTTTTGCTGCATTACTACTTGAGCCTAAGCTTACATCTTTGCTCAGATTTTTTCTGTAGCACAATCCAGACTCTGTAACGAAAAGAGCGCCTTCCAGAAGAATGATACTGCTAATGACAAAACTTTTTTTTTTCTCAATGACCTTAAAGGTGATCTGCTTTAAAGAATATGTTTACATATGCATATCGCTGCACTCAAGTTGGACTGAAAAGTATTAAAAAAAAAAGAAGAAAAAAAGAAAATAAAAAGGCCTACAGGTTTTGCAACAGGCTGTTTCTTTGAGGCACTGTATTTAATTAAGATACAGACCCATACAGTGTTTCCAAATAGTTCTGAATTGTTGACCTTTGCTTACAAGAAGTAGTCTCTCTCTTTCTCTCTCTCTTTTTCTCTCTCTTTCTCACTGCATAGGATGTGGTATATATCTGTTAATTTTAAAACATGGGGCAAAAATTACTGTTTATAGACAACCCAACTGCATTAAACTGTGCTGCTTTCTAAAAGGACATTGGCACAAGTGACTTATGCTACCATGGGAATTTAATAATGGATTTTACAATGCTAACATGGTTTGCCTTGGGGGGAAAACAGCAAGTAGAATCCTTGTTGCATATAAGCAAAGGAAACCCTGATTTTTTTGTAAATTATGTGAGACAAGTTGTTTATGGATTTTTATATGAATTACAATTTACTGTACATCAAATATTAGTCTCAGAGGAGTTAATTTATGTAAAGTGTTTAAAAAAGTTTATACTTAAAAATAAAATGATAAAAACATGTGCTGTGTGTGATTTTTTTTAAAGAAAAAGGAATTGCACCTTTTATGTTATAGCTGTACAGTATAAAGGATTATATTGTAGAGATATAACAGTGATGACTAATGTCCAAAAGTGTTAATATTTTTGTATTAGGTTTAAAGCTGTGCATCTATCACTCTGCTGATAGGATGGGACACTCCACAAAGTGGCTGGCTGAATCAGACCACAGCTCCCTCCCCTCCCTCTCCTGTCACCCAGGCCAGTGCCACTTCATCAGTCATTGTTAGAAGGCACAGTAACCAAATAAGTCTCATTTAGTATGATGGAAGACTTTAATAGGTTGGGGTTTCCTTGTCTTTTTCCAGCCCTAATGTAATAAATGGACATTTATTCATACCAGGTGGGGTTTCTGTTGGTTTTTTAGAAGCTTTGTTTCACAATGGAGGAATAGTGTCTCAGGTGCTCGGCAAATTGTATGTAGAAGAAGAAGAAGAAATTATGTAGTTTCATCCAGTTATGTCAACTTTGTCTTCTGTACAATACAGCTCTTTTAGGTGTTAATAACTCCAGATAGAAGAAGCGTACCTCTGACCTGATGCTACAGAATTGCTCTTTAGGCAGGCAGGCTGTTCAGTAGATTCATCTCCTGGCCTTCAGCTGGCAGATCAAATCTCATTACTGTGAACACAACCTGGGGATGGAGAGGAAGGTCCAGTTCTAGTGCCTAGTCTGCATCTCCACACCACTGCATAGATTTGGCATGCTCTGCTCCAAGGCCCAGTATATTTGCTGCAGGAAGAACTCAAGTGTGCAGCTGGTTCCTTATAGGAAGCCTGTGGTGGCATCTATGGCATCTGTTCTACATCTTGGCTGAAACCATTCTTGGAGCTTTAGTCTCATGAACACGAAATTCAGCCACAAAAATAAATATTTTTAAGATGAGACAAAATTGGGGGTTTTGATGTTCATTGAAATATACACAGTATTTCTATCCATGTATTATAATGACAGAACATAGTAAGTGAACGTGTCTTGACTATGAATGGTTCAAGTGGATGTAATAAAAATAGTTTTCTAACTGCTTTGTATTCTGAGAGTCTATGGTAATACATACTCTAAATTGCACATTAGGATTGTTTGATAAACAGATTTGAATTTCTCCCAGCCCAGTCGCTACCGAATCTACAGTATCAGTGCTATTACTGTATGTGTGTATTTGGTAGAGCATACAGAACTAATTACACATATAATGAATGCTAATCATCTATTAGAATTAAAGCACAGATTAGTTGTTAGTACTTTTACCCTTGAATCTTGAGGGCCCTAAATTTAGAGAGGATGGTATTTCAGACCCCAGAGGTGTGTCATTGAGCTACGTATTCTTTTTCAAAGATGTAAAATGCTAGGTGTTTGCAGTTCTGTTGGGTGGCTCTTCCACAGCACTGTATTTAGCATGCTGTAAGTGCTCTCTGTTGAAATAGGCTCATATTCTAAATTATGTCCAATGTTTCTGTTCTGTTTGAATATGAAAAGCTTGTATAACATGTCAACATTGAAATATATCTTCTACTTGGCGCATACCAGTCCCTTCTCCTTTGTTCTGGCACCAATAAACAACAAATTATAGTATCTGTTGGTGATCATTTTAGATACAGTCAAATCAAGCCAATTAGTGGCCTTGTTAGTAGGTATAATGAGCCTATTTCTTGCTAAAAAAGACTTGTGATCTGGACATGTTCCTGCAGGAAATAGTGACCTTGGGGAATATAGACACAAAAGATCTTTTTAAAGAAAAAATATGCATAATTAAAGAAGCATATTACAAAAATAAGAAAAAAAGAAAGGAGATTCTAAGTATTTTAGACAATGCCAGTGAAAATGCTATCCTGATATTTTGAGATGTATATTTCGTCTGATTTGTATTGTTCTTTTAATTTGCCTTCTTAACTTTATATGTGTCCTGAATTTTCCACAAATTGATAACTATAGATTGCATCTAGGCTTTCCAATAAAAGCCAACCCAACGTGTGCGTGTGTGTGTGTTTATATTTGGGTTTTTTTCATCTGTATGTCAGATACTGCACCTGTGCTGACGCTTTTCTCTTATTGAAGAAACAAAGTGATCCCCTTGCACTCCTATTGATTCATTTGCTTCACAGTTGGCTGTACCTTTTTTTGACTCTCTCCAATGGCTTCATCTGCTAGCTCAGCAAAGTGAATTACTCCATGGGATCTCTCAGGGGGCCTACTTTACAGAAAACATTAAATATACCTCCACAAAGCCAAATCTTTCATAGATAAGGAGAGCCAAAGAAAAAAAAAAATCACTTAGAATTGTTTTCTCTCTTATCCTCCTGAGTAAAAATATGACAAAAAGTACTTGATTATAAAGAATTAGATTGGCACTGGTAGTTACATATATACACAGAAGAGATCCTTCAACCTGCATTTAGACCCCCTTTGCAGAAACTGCTGACTTCAGCACAGGTCTTCGTCAAGAGACTGCTTTCATTTTAGTTGGAACAGGCAGACTTCACCACACTCACTTTGCAGTAACAACCTTGAGTTGGTAACATGTTGATCCAGCACTAATCAGGTCACTGCTTTGCTAACTATGGCCTAATTTTGTTATTAAAAAAAAAGGCAGTAAGAGATCTTTGTATGTTCACACTTGGGAGGTGAGAGATTTGCATTTGACAAGGGGGGAAAAATGCCAGTTACCACTGCCACTCTTCTGAGGCATTTCTAAAGTGATGGCTGTAAGGCTGTAAAAGAAAAAACACTACATAAAATAACAGTTAAAATTGTCTATGGGAGAATAGGCTGCATTTGCAGAGAATCAGATGACAAAATGCTTGAATTCTGATTTCAGGGAAAAAAAGGAAGGGAAAAGCTTCTGAAAGTGTTGATACCTTGATATACTGCTATGTCCAGAAGGGCAGGCTATGGCTTTACATATGGGCAGCTTGAGAACCTTTAAGAAAAAGAGGAAGAAACTCATGCATAATTCTCTGGGGATGGCAAAGCAGAGGCACTTATTAGAAACAGCTTCTAAGCAGCTTATTAGAAGCTGCTTATTTGACACTTATTAGAAGCTGCCAGGGTTAAAAATAAGCCAAAGCACAGAGCATCATCCCACAGCATAAACTGAACAGCACAGACAAGTGATATCATACCCCTAACTGCAAAGCCACATCCACACCCACCAAACTACTCAGCTTCTCATCTACAACCAATCAGTCTTAAGGATTAAAGATACAAGCCTTATAAAATTAAATTGATCTTTACACACACAAGTTGCTGGGGCTCAGTCATACCAAACAAAAAAGACAAACTAAAAGTGATAAAAAACAAAATGTAAACCAGTTAATTGATGAGTATGTGCCAATTCTTCCCCCGGGAAAAAAGGAACACATGGTCTATAGCTGTCATGCTGACAGAGCTTAAGGCTTCATTTTTTACCTCTGAAGTTTTTAGCTTTGTGGCAGACTGACCACACAAGGCAGATTTAACTGTGTGAGTACCTAGGCTAGATCTATTCAAAAAGTCAAAATACAAATAATAGGTAAATCTCTGCTCATCCCCCCAGCCCATTTTTTAGCAGAAGTAACATAAATAAGGATGCCAAGTCTTAATTAGGTGCACCACGAAAAGCTGAAAAAAATGCAGCTTTTCTTTTCCCCATCCCAGAAACCTGAGTATTTGTTAGGGACCACTAAAAGTGTCTTAGCCTTTCAGGGGGAAGAGATGGTGGAAAGGCTTGTTTGTTATGCCATCTCCTAATCACAAAGCAGAATACTGGCAATTGCAGGTGGCACTGTGAGGGACAAGAACATGGTCTCTGGTGCTATGGCACAATCTGCCCTGCTTTCATAACCAGATGTGCTGGGGACAACAGGGTAGGGAGAGCAAAAGGGAGGTGAGCTGCCCTTAGGGGGTCTGAAACACAACAGTGAGAATGAAGTCACACAGTACCACACAAAGAGGGGCATGAGGATTATCAACTGCAATATTCTTTGTATGCATGGCTTTTTAAAAAAATTCTTGGCCTGATTTCTAGTATCACAAATGTATGCAATTCTGAGCAGTGCAAGCATAACATTAAATGCATCGATAAGTAAAGATAAATATGCTAAATATAGGTCCCCACTTCTAAACAAAGCAAGCTAAGAAGTAACACCATCCCTTTCTTTAAGTACATGAGAGACTTATATGCAATTTAAAAGGTGAAGAATAAGCATAATATGATGGCAGCTCATTAAAGTGACATGTTGTCACAGAACCTGCTTTATTGCTGGTAGACTCTCTAGCTGTTAATTACTATAACTTTGTAGGTAAATTGAGTAAACCTTTTAATTTACTAAGTTAAATTTCCATCATTGAGGAATATAAGTTTCTAGACATGCATACAATTTTTCCCTACTATTAAACAAGTCAATGCTGTAGTAACATAATTATGCAGCTTAGAGTTAATGGTTCCCACAAAGCTGTCTTAATAAAGCCTTTTGGGATTCAGGAGGAAAAGGAAGAAATTCAGAAACTAAGAACAAGGCTGGAAGGCGACAACATGCTTCAACTGGCTCTAGTTACTCAATCACACTTAAGCAGTCTGAGACAGCAGGGTGAGTGCCATGCATTACAGAGGCACAAGGGAAAATTGTTATCCCAGTGCAACAAAATATTTCCAAATTTCAAGCCCAGGAATCATTTTTAAACTGAAATGACAAGAATGGCTATCTAATGAACCAATTAAAGTTACAGCAATAATAAATAAAATTAAAACAGCATAAAGAAAGATAATTGAGGAATCAGTTATTAATGCAAATCTGAAAGGAACTCTATATAGGCATGTTACAAATGCTATAAAAATAAATATTAAAAAGTTCACCCATTGTTTGCAGATAAAAACCACTATGGAAAAATGAGCTGGGGAGGGTGTGGGTGTACAAGCCCATAATACCAGAACCAGTATTAGACACCAACTTACACAATGACGGGGAAGCACATATTAAAAAAAAAAATCAGTCACGCCAATATCTGCACATGACAAAAATTAATGGAGTGGCAAATAATGGCTAGGACAGAGCAGTCACACAGAACAATATGGATCACTTGCTGAAGTGAGCCCATTCAAACAAAATGCATTTCAAGACAGGCAACTCCAAAAGTAAAATATCTCAGAATAAGAAATGCAAATCTTGCTATGAAAGGTACATGGCCGCCTTCAAGAAAGCACTGACTGGAAAGAATGAGGAGTGCATAATGGATAAATAACTCATTGTGAGATTCCAGTACAATCGTGGTGGCAGTGAAGAGCTTTTAGGGGTGGAGAAGCTTAATGAGATTACTGGCCTTGTTAAACAAGGGAAATAGGAAGGCAATGTTATCTCTGCATATGGTGCCAGCAGTACCACTCTTGCATGCAGTCCTGATGCATGAAAACCGTGGAGAGAGCACAAGGAGACATCACACATAAATCTGAGTCTTGGAACAATTAAAAAAAAAAAAGAAGAAAGAAAAGAAAGAAAGAAAGAAAGAAAAAACGGCACAAAAGGGTGACATGAAAATAGTGTCTAAATGCCCTCACAGAAAAAAAAAAAATTAAAAACAAAGTTGTAGCAAAGTGCTTCCAAATAGACAGGAAAGGAGGGAAGAGAAAGTGGGTGGGAAGGCAATTCTGGTAACTGACTATAGGAGCAGTTTCCAAAAGCTTTTGGCAAAATAGGAGCTATTGGAAGTACATGTAATGGATGCAGGTGATGTGAGTTTACACTAGATTATGGCACCATTCATTTAGCTGCACAGGAGACGTCAAAGTAAAACCCTAATAACTGTGGTAAATTCCAGGCCAAAGGGTTTGGGTTTGTCTTCTCCTTATCACCTCCCCTTTAACAATCCTGAAATATCCCAATTAAGTTGGCACAGACCGAAGCCAACAAACATAACCCTAAAAGTTTCAACTCTTTAAACAGCGAGTGCAAGGCTGAGGCATTTTAAAAACATCCCCCGGTTTACTCAGCAGAGATATGTTGTTCTATTACCTTCTACAGCAGCTGATTATTAAAACTAACTAAAACAAACTTCCTCACTCTCTAATAACATAGCCAGAGCTAATATTTCCGCATGTTTATGTTTTCAAGGCATCCAGAGGCACGTGTTTAGGTTAAACAAAAAAAACCAAACAAAAATTTTCAAATAGTAAAACCTTGCCTGCGCCAGCTCTGACCGCACTCTGCCCTGAGCGCGCCTTGCCCTCAGTGACCGACACTCCCTTCCCAGGTGTTTCACGCTCCGCCAGCTCCGGTGCGCTGGGAAGCGCTGGGTCCTTAACCGGGAGCTGCCTCACCGGGAACGGCAAATTGCTCCCTCCGCTCCTGACCCCTCACAGCGCAGCTCAGACCCAAGGGAGGGCACTGAAGTGCGCTCCCAGCCGCAAGCGAGCCGCTCCCCGCCCCGGCAGCCGGCACGGCGTTCGCCCGGGACAACACCCGCTCCCTCAACCACCTGACCCCCTTCGCCATCAGCGCACCGTCCCTCAGCGCCCCAAAGCGGCAGCGCGGGCCGGGCCAGGCGGGGACCGCTCCCCTCGCTTCCCCGGCCGAGCAGTCCCTTCCACCGGGACACGCCCCGCTCCCCCGGCCGGGCAGTACCCTCCACCGGGACGCGGCACCGCGGGCCGGCCGTGGCTCGCGCGCCCCCTGGCGGGCAGGGGAGGGCCGGCAGCTGCCGACGCTGGGCCGGTGATTGCGGGGGCTCTTAGCCGCCATTTTATCGGCTCGATGGGGCCCGCGGCGCGCCAGGGGTGCGCCTCCTTGAGGTGGGATTGCAACAATGTAAATAAAAAAATAAATAAATTTTTACGTACGTACACTCATAAGTACATACATACTGCCTTAAGATGCCGTGTCCCATAGCAGCAGACCTCGTGCCAACCCGCAGCATGGAACCCGACTGACCCGAGCGGGGCCGGCAGGCTGGAACGTCCTGCTGAGCCAGTGCCACCTCGTGCCCCCTCTCCGG